ACAAATGTTTCACCGAAATCTTCAAACCCGCTGTGTACTTTTATACTTGGACATTTTGCAGAGAATAACGGGGAACACTGCGTTTGCTTAGCAGATGGATGGGTTCATTTCAAATAAAGAGCATAATACTGCTGAGTGTTTTGGCAGATTGTAAACTAGATAATCCCGGCATGCAGTGGTCCCCATGACGGTGCAAATGTTGATCAAGTGGTTGAGGACGAACGGGACCTTGGGAACGGTGATGGAGGAGCGCTCTGAACCCTGCGAGAAGTCATTAATTAACTGAGATCGTACGAAATTCTAGAAATTGTACTCAGGCAAGCGAAAACACTCCGGCACCTGGAAATAGTATGAATCAAACAAGTGAGCACGGGCCAAAACAGTGGCCTACCAAACGTTTCCTCATCATCCACAGGGTCGTATTTGAACCCTGATATCCTTGAGGCAAGTTATGCAACAAACATTACGTTTGTGGCTTGCATGTGTCTGCCCTTGAGAGCTGTCTGCAGATTTTTCAGAAATGTTGGCGACCGAGAGCCTCTACCCCAGTTTTATATCTCGAAATTGTTCGATGTAAGCAGTATTTATGGAGTGAGCATTCGTAAAACTATGCGTTTCAAAGGAAAAAGGAGCGGTGCCGTAATTAGGTTAAAAAAATAATAAACTCTGTTATGTGGGCCAGCCCCTGGCTAAGTTCCATTGCCGCTGAAGACGGGTGGTTCTCTATTAAAAAATGTTTGGAAAACTGATTCGAAGGGCCACCACTGATGCCTATAACGAAGTTCCAGTTTTAGTTTGAGTTTGAGCAGCTCACGTGTACTTAGTCCGGTTACTCATTTGCACTTCATTGACGTTATCTATAGCATCTTTGCTTAGTTCACTTTTGTTTTTGCAGACTCCCCCCCCCCTTCACAGACAAGATAATTATGTTGGTGTGAGGAGAAAAATAATGTTGCATGGATTTAAATTTGTTTAACCATTTATAAGTGAACAATGAGGATAAAAAGAGTCAAAGAGGGGAAGGTTGTTATTGTGCTTACAGTTGATAAATTTAGTTTCTACGTTAACTTGGTCTTTATTTTCCATCCCGTGGAGTGTTAGAAAAGTTATTACATTTTGCGTTGAGTGATTTGTTACATTTTGCTGCGTAACAAGC